GAAGTTGTATATTTTAAAGCTTCCGAACTGTGCAAATGGTTACGTCACTCTCACGTGACGGCCAGCATGCCCTCCTTCGGGACGGGGTGTGTCAAGTTGGTATCAGAGCCTAAGTTTCAATCTTGGACATCTTGAGAAGTTCTAGTGAATTCTGTCAGAACTACACCGCCTCGTAGCAAACCACGTAGTTAGAAGAATTTAGTCTCCCTGATTTAGCTGTTAGGGGAAACTATTATTTTGGTGATTCAGTATATTATTTAAAAGGGACATTTTAAGATGGGTTATGAGTTGAATTTGAATCACCTTATGAAATGATGAACCTGAGGGAGCAAAGTGATGGATTAACCAATTGGAAAAGATGTTTTAGATTATGCAAGTCAAAGGAATCTTCCTTTTGACAGAAGGGTTGAGACGACTACCTGGTTTGAGTTATGAACTTGTATCCTGGTGGAAACAGGAGTATAATGCGTTGTCACCAAAGGAAACAGCCGATTGAGAATTGTTTAAGGACTTGTTTAAAGAAAAGAATTATTTCCTTTGGCATCTTATGATGGTAGAAAGCAAGAGTTTGCAAATGTGAGACAAGGAAAGCTGACGATCAATGAGTATTATAAAAAGTTCTCAGACTTGCCTTGTCCCATTCGAATATTGCCGTTATTTTGATTGAAGTGTTATATTGTTTTAGGCTGGGTGGCATAAGGCAATGGTATTTTGGGTGACCACTATCCATTGTAATTCTTACCAGGAGTATACAAGATGTTGTTGAGCCTTAAGGACTCTGAGAACATGTTCAGCGAGAGTAAAGAAGAATGATAAAAGAATGGGAATCAAAAGAGGACGATAAAGTTAATGATTCGTCATATCAAGAATATAGAGAGATTCGGAACTTCAAAAGAAGTGAAGCTAATTCTAGTTCTTTTGGCAAAGGTTTTAATGCCATTGACCAGAAGCGAAGTGATAGATGTATTGGTAATCCCAGATCTCAGAGACAAGGTGATTTTGGTAAAAGAAATGTACCCTTGGGCTGTAGGTACAATAATGGACACCTTTGAGAATATAGGCGAGAAAGCAGTGGACGTTTTACAAGTGGATAGATGGGACATAGAACTGCAAATTTTGTCCAAAACCAACAGAAGCCCTAGCAGTTTTCTTTGCCATAACTGGCGCCGATCCAGCAAGTTCCTGGATCTATTAATTATGGTCAGTTAGGCCGTGGTGTACACGAGCGAAGTATTTACACTAATAGAGGTTGTGGGAGACAACAACAAGCCCAGGGATGTGTTAACCACACATCACTGCAAGATACTCGGAATTATTTGGATTTGATTAGGAGTACGATAATTATTCTTAATGACTTAGCTAAAGTCTATTTGTTGTTAATGTAGAAATTTTACGTTATTAATGTTATTACCTTGAAAGTAGTATTTAAACGCGGTCGAGACGTGTGTATGTATTTCCTAATGAGTGGCAAAATAGTAATATTACACCCTCGAGAGTTGTTGCTTACTTATCGAGACAACGATGATTTATCAGTATTGCGGGCTGCAGACCGTAATATTAATAACTTATTCGTGGATTCGTTAAGCAAGTAAACCGATAGGTTATCCTATGTTAGTATTGTACTTATTCAGAGTGCTCAGTATTAATAGAGTATGTATTGTTGCTAGCTACTTTTGTTCCATTAGATTGTAGATTTCGATGTTATTCTAGAGCATATTATGTTATATACATGATATGACGAGTTGATTATGAGCCATATATGCAGCCGAGGGCTGAGTTGATTAGAATGAAAAAGTATGAGCTATGTTTATAGCCGAATGTTGAATGGATTATATATTATTTTCCATCGGTCTGGATGACTAGAGATTACTTTTGTAAGTATGCAAAGTGAAGTGAGGCAGACCGTTAATTATGTTGTGAGAGCAAAGAGATTATTATCAAAAGGCTGCCAAGGATACTTATCTCATGTGGTGCTAAAAGATGTCACTTCTAGTAGCGTGGAAGAAGTGGGAGTAGTCAAACATTTACCTGACGTTTTCCCTGAGAATTTACCTGGATGGCTACCAGTTAAAGATGTAGAGTTCACTATGGATTTGTCTCCAGGTACAAACCATATATTATAGAATGTTGCCTTTTGAACTAAGAGAATTGGAAATTGGTTGATAAAGGTTTTTATTCAACCTAGTACATTACGTTGGGGGAACCCCAGTTTATTGGTGAGAAAGAAAATGGACGTTAAGGCTGTGCTTTGATTATAAGCAGTTGAATCGAGTAACAATTGAAAACCGTTATTCGTAACCTCACATTGATGGTTGTTTGATCAGCTTCTAGGTGGTTGTATATTTTCTAAGATGGACTTGAGGTTTGGATATTATTAGCTGAAGATTATCGGTGAGGATGCCCTTATGATAACTCTCAGGACTCGTTAAGGTCATTTCAAGTTTTGGTGATGCCATTCGGAGTGACGAATGCATCTACTACTTTATGAATTTGATGAATGAAGTATTCCAATGATATCTAGACCGATTTGTTGTTGTTGCTATTGAAAAGATTGATAAGACTAGAGAAAAGTATGCTAAACATCTTAAATTGGTATTGCAAAGATCGAGGGAACGTCGATTGTATGCTAAGTTTAGCAAATGCCAATGTTGGATGAATCAAGTAGCATTTTTGAGATATATTATGTCTGCTTCAGGTATTCAAATGAATTCATAAAAGGTAGCAGAAATTGAGAATTTAGAACAACCACGAATCGTGATTGGGATTTGAAGTTATCCTAGCTTAACAAGCTATCATGGACGGTTCGTGAAAGATTTTTCAGTCATTGCTTTGTCATTGGCAAGATTGTTGAGAAAAGAGGTTATGTATGAGTGGGAAGGAAGTTGTGAGCAAAGAATTCAACAACTGAAGTATTTCCTCACTCATGCACGTATTTTAGTATTCCCAGAGATTAGTGGTAATCATAAATTTTTAGTGATGTTTCTTGAATGGTATGGGATGCATGTTGATGCAAATGTTAGGGTGATTACATACGTTTCACGACAAAAGGAACCTCATGAAATGAATTACCCTATTAGTGATTTGGAAGTCATGATTACCATTCTTGCTGTGAAGTTATGAAGACATTATATTTGGTAAGAATGCAAGATTTTTACGAATCCAAAAAGTCTCCAATATCCATTACTTGGAAGGATTTTGATATAAGGCAGCGAAGGTGGATTGAATTGTTTAATGAACATGATTGTACGACCTGGGTGATCGTAAAATTGTTCTAGCTGATGCACTTGGTGAAAAGACGGTGGTAAGAGTTGATGTCTGGCACGCTTGCCAAGGTTGTCTTCTTGTGGATTGGAAATCAACTGAAGTAAAGTTGAGAATGGAAGTTTGAGAAGAAGTTGTAATTGCTAATTTTCAAGTTAAGTCTTTTTAGTAAGGTCGTACTCAAGACTCAAATGGTTAACGAAGAAAATTAAGAATTAACCAAGGTAAAGAAAGAAGGGAAAAAGAAAGATTGCTGAGTTCGAGAATAGGATGGTTATGATTGAACTTGAAGTGATAGTTGATCAATGTACCAAGTTAGTACATTTACTCCAGTGTTGAGTAACAACCACAGTGCAACAATACTTATATGTTTTATGGAGAAGAGATTTGGGTTACGGAACTGCTGAGTTTCTTAAGTATGTTGGTTGCACAGTTTCCAAAGTAACGCCATAAGGACCATGAAATGTGTCGATTTTTGGCTGATTTGTGGGAGAAATGCTTCTGGATAGAGAAGATTCGATCACGAAAGAGTTTTGGTAGGCCCTGAAACTATGGATGAGTCTTCTCAAAGTATTCAAGTGATTAAGTTTAACCTGAGAGTAGCCAGGAATGGCAAAAGAGATTAATAGTTGAACATGTCACTAATCGAGTGTTTAACGTAGATGATTTTATACTTTTGAAGTTTTCACTTTAGAAAAGTATGATACAGCTGGGAAAGGAAAGCAAATTAAGTCCTAAGTACATCGGACTTTATGCGATCATCGAAGAGTAGGTGAAGTTGCTTGAATTACTTCCAGAGTTATTGTAAGAGCATGATGTGTTTCATGATTCAACATTTTTAGAAATTTCATCACGAAAAGAAATAGTGAGGTTTGGAAAGGAGACAAATTAAGTCTTAAACACATCAGACCGTTTTTGAACACTAAAGGAATCGATGAAGTTGCATACAAGTGGTGATGTCTTCAGAATTGGCTAAGGTGCATAATGTATTATATTGCGATGCGTTGTCACTAGGTGGCAGATTCGTCACATGGAGTTCCGGTGCAACTATTGAGAATTAATCCGGATTAGACTGGTTGAGGAACCAAGGACGACATTGGATTGGAAAAAGAATGTATTGAGAATTAAGACAGTGTAATTGGTAAAGAATTTGTGAAGAAAACAGTCAGTGGAAGAAATTACGTGGGAGAAGGAGAATCGGATGAGAGAGATTTACCAGAAGCTATTGTATGAGTTTAGTTGATTAAGTTGGTTGTTGGAATTTCGGGGACGAAATTCTATAAGGAGGGAAGGTTGTCACAACCCGTCCCAGAATTTTAATTCCGAGGACGTGAAGTTATGAAAATGCCCTTAAACGGGACTAAGGGGCGTAAAATTTGTTGTAACTTGATGATTTGGGGATTGGGTAGGAACCCCACATCCCTCAAATCTCTCCCTCATTCCCGTACCTTGTCTCTCTCTCCTCCCTCACAAATCTCTCATTCTCTCTGTAAGTTCTTTCTCTCTCTCTCTCCTTCGAACTCACACGGACCACCCACAAACCACCCCAAAACTATACCAACGAAGGATCTAAGACCACCATCGTACTCCTGAGGACCAGACGAACACGATGGTACCAATTTCAGGTGAGTTTCACTTCGGAAAACATGGATTTCAATTTCACTGTGCGTGTGCACTGTTCATGCACACGTAAAGATTGATGTTTTTTGGGATTTTGAAGCTTGTAGGAAGCTTGGTGAGGTCCTAAGGAAGCTCGGAGTGCTTCGTTTGAAGGATTTGGACGTCGGGATCACGAACTGTAAGTCCGGCCGAATTTTCGTGATTTTTGGAAAAATTTGATTCCGTTGTTTTTAGGCCCTAAAACTAGTCCAACGTGGTAGATTATGATTAGGGCTTCATTTTGGTATAGATTACATGAAAAATGGACGAAAGAACAAGGAGAATGACAAGTTCAAAGTTTGGCCGGAGCTTTCGGGGCATTTTCCGGCGAAACCACGGCGAGTTAGGGGTCAAGGCAGGTATGGATGTGTTCGTCTCGTCAATACCTTCATTTTGATATATAGTACGTCGAAAATGGTTAAGAAATGAAGAAGTTATGACACTTTGAAATTTACCCAGAAATTCCGGCAAAACACTATTTCCGGCGAAACCAGTCCGGCGACGCGAGGAAGAAGATGCGCGCGTGGGCAGCGCGTGAACAGTGCGCGTGGGGGCGCGTGAGAGCTCCAAATTGAGTTCTGAAAATTGTCACGCGTTCGTGACGTCGTGTAGATCACCGTGGTATATTCATACACCCAAATTGAGCAACGTATGAGAAAGTTATGGACGAATGTTTGGTGTATGCGCGTTAAATAACGTCAATTTGGTTACTTTTTGTATAGGTGAAAATTATACAGAGGAAGAATGTAACCAAGCTAGGGGAGGTTCAGGGACCTATGAGACGTCGATGTGATCAGTGAGTGGGCAGTTATTTTTCAGTATATATATATATACGTATGCTTGACGTATTTCCCAGAAAACGTATTTTAAAAGAAATACGAATTAATTATCCTGTCATATATGCATCATATTTTAATATGTGCATTACCATAATTATGCATACTGTTGCATGGTGCTGAGGAGGCCCAGGTAAGCTACATTTGAAATACATTTGATATACGTATGAAATACGATTGAAATACTATCATCACATGCATTAGTAGTGGCATACATTTATATATGTGTATTTGGTGCTGTGGGTGCACAGGTAAGTGCCAGGTAAGCGGTGTTCACGTTGTTATGCATTCCTGTTTATTATGCAATAGTAGTTTGAGATGCTTAGAGAGTTCATAATCTGCACCCCCGGTGTTAGTGCTCCCGCCCGAGGCCAGGGCCCAGCCTTCACGTGTATGTTCACCAGCACCGCATGCTCGCCTTGGATCCAAGTTAGGTGCAAGCCTGTCGTACAGACCACATTAGGTGGTTCCGACTTGTAGGTGACCCGCGATTTATCGCACAGCTTCACGTGATCGTAGCACTAGAGCATATATATATTACACCCAGCCTGTCGTACAGACCACAATAGGTGGTTCCGACTCGTGTGCAGATTCAGATGTTGAGTTGAGCGTGGAGCTCTATCTACAGCCGTACAGGTCACGTTAGGTGACTCCCGGCTGCTAGATTATATGTTATTGATGTGAATTACGCTTGAGCATTTATATTTGATTATGAGATTCTGTTGTGGCATATTCTCGAGCATAAATGGCATATTGTGGAGCATGAATGGCATACTATAAGAGCATGATTGGCATATTTATACATACGTATATATGTTTATTTTCTGGGAAACTATATTTGTTTTACGGCGAGGGGTTAGTATATTCAAAGAGAAAAGAAGGTTTTGAATACGTACGTTTTGCTGACCCACTCAACTTTGTTTTGCGCCCCTCCAGATTCAAGAATTGCAAAGGTGTGGTGACTACGAGGAAATTCAACGGTGTTCTGACAGAATGGACCATATAAGGACTCATCTTCGGGTGTTGTATTTTAGAAGTTGTATATTTTAAAGCTTCCGAACTGTGCAAATGGTTACGTCACTCTCACGTGACGGCCAGCATGCCCTCCTTCGGGACGGGGTGTGTCACTTTCGTTATAAATTTTTGTTCTTAAATTATAAAGAATAATTTGCATGTAACGAGTTTTACAACCTCATCTCTCTACATTTTTCACAACTTAAATACATATATGCCTCAAATTGTAAAGAATAACTTGCATATAACAAGTTTTACAACTTCATTTATCTGCGTCTTTCGTTACGTATAACACATGGAGATGAAACATGCGACAAGTAAGTTGGTTTGATGGGTTTGGCATATCTTATTAGTAGCTCTACCTATAAAATTAGAAATGATGGAGTTTCTTAGCTTTGGCACGAAGGGTTGAGTGATGGGTATACTCGATCTCGCTATGATTACGATGATGACGACATTGCTTCTTTCTCTTTTGGGCCACTTTTCACTAATCTAAGATTGAGTGAAATGTGCAGTTGGTATAGGCCATCATTATTTTCGTCTCCAACTAAGTATCTCACTTCACTTGTGGCCCAAAGATATATTAACGAAAAAGCTTGATATGTGACATCTAAACCATATAATTTCCCAAAGTTGTTGAAGTGTTGATAAACAAGCATAGACCACACTTCATGTAATTGATTTTATATCTAATAGATGATGTGAGAGTCCGAATCACGATTCATATAGTTATCGACGATTTGTTCTAAATTTTTTTAAATACCTGTTGTTATTTATTATTAATAAGAAGAGAGATTCGAACTTAAAACCTAGTACAAATTTAAAATGAGTAATACGATTAGACTTTCTTAGAGTTAGTTTATAATCAAAGATATGTTCTAGTACTAATATCACAAATGATAACACCTTATAAAGAAGAGAACACAATTTCTTGTGCTCAGATGACCGTATAAGTGTAGCGATCACTAAGAGTGAGATATAAAAGAAAAGAGGATGAAACCATAATATGAAAAAAAAAATAATATGACTTGTATGTGTGACCCAATAACCACATAATATAAGTCAATCTAAGAATTAAGACCTGATCCTATAAATATAAACACATGCCTTGTGATGTATCCAAAGTTTTGAGAAAAAAGAGAAAAACACTTACTTAAAAAGCACCCGCTCCAAAATTAAGAACATAAACACATACTAAAATTTCTTAAAATTAAAAACTAAAAACTAAAAACTAAAGGTATCAGGTTTGAAATCTGCTGCTGGTGTGGAAGCCAAGCTTGTAGCCATGGATAGGTTGAAATGCTTTTACGAGTCTTCCCAGTCTCAAAAAAAAAATGGATAATCCGTGACTTGTCACCTATTGTTCTTATAAAAAAAAAAAAAAAAAGTGCCACTCACATGACCTATTATTTCCAGTCACGTGTGCCGGTGAGAGACTCATGTGCGACTCCGCAAGACTTTCTCTGTGCACCATCCAAACCAATCCGACATACCCCACACTACCGCTGGCGCGTAACCGTCATCCACCTCAGCGCGTAGATAACAATCTCTGCAGTCGTTTCTCAAGCGTTAAACACCGCGTCCCTGCAACCACACCAATCCCTCCGTATTCCCTATCATCTAAACTGTCAATCCCAGTTGACCCCCACATAACCAATCATATCAACGGCTTACATAAAATCATGTACCTATCATGAATGCAAGAGGGTGGCAGACTTCTGCCTCCCAAAATTACAGGTTCGCTTTTCAAAATTTAAATTCCCACTCAAACCAAACGGCGCCGTCAAACTCGTCCGTCATCTCACCCCGCTATAAATCCCCAGACGACAGTCCCTCACTTCCCCAAACCCTTCGTCTTCTTCCGTGACCATTTCTCTCGACGAGAACGTTCTTCTCTCTCTGCCTCTCTCTCTCTCTGCAGTCACTCTCTCTCCTCCACCGCTCTCCAAAATGCGTGAGATTCTCCACATCCAGGGAGGCCAGTGCGGCAACCAGATCGGCGCCAAGTTCTGGGAGGTCGTCTGCGCCGAGCACGGCATCGACTCCACCGGCCGATACCAGGGCGACAACGAGCTCCAGCTCGAGCGCGTCAATGTCTACTACAACGAGGCCAGTTGTGGGAGGTTTGTCCCACGCGCCGTCCTCATGGATCTCGAGCCGGGAACCATGGACAGCGTCAGATCTGGGCCATACGGCCAGATTTTCCGCCCGGATAACTTCGTTTTCGGCCAGTCCGGCGCCGGAAACAACTGGGCCAAGGGTCACTACACCGAAGGCGCCGAGTTGATCGACTCCGTTCTCGACGTCGTCAGGAAGGAGGCCGAGAACTGTGATTGCTTGCAAGGTATAATTCGAGTTCGATTTTAGTTGCTAGATCATTAGATCAGTGTGCATTTTCCAAAATTTCGAGTTTTTGGATACAATTTCTGCGTTATAGTGTCCGAATTGTGAGGTTTATGACTTATTTGGCAACAGGATTTCAGGTTTGTCACTCTTTGGGAGGCGGGACTGGGTCCGGAATGGGAACTCTTCTCATTTCCAAGATCCGAGAGGAGTATCCGGACCGAATGATGCTCACATTCTCCGTGTTTCCGTCGCCAAAGGTGTCTGACACCGTCGTTGAGCCATACAATGCAACTCTCTCTGTTCACCAGCTTGTTGAAAATGCAGATGAGTGTATGGTTTTGGACAACGAAGCTCTCTACGACATTTGCTTCCGGACACTGAAGCTCACTACTCCCAGCTGTGAGTTTTCTTTTCTTTTGTTTGTATAATATATCCTGTTGAATCGTAATTGAAATTTACCTAGTTGAATTTGAATATGTTTATGCTATACTATCTTGGATTCGGCATTAGTATGTGGGATTCGATATTGTGTTTAGTATGCTTATGTGAAGTAAAAAGGAATTGAATTTTGACTTGGTTGAATAGTGATTATTACATTGGGTTTCGAGAGTGAATTGTTCATATTATCTTTGTTTGTATCCGTATCCAAAGTGCAGAAGATTCAAATTGTATGCAGCCATAGTTATGCACATGGTGCAACCAAAAGGTTGCTCCTTTTGTGACAAAAAGGTCATAGGTTCGAGTCTTTGAGACACTTTTTGCAAAGTAAGAGTAAGGCTGCGTAAGATAGACATTCCCCCTGACCCTTGCAGAGCAAGAAGCATTGTTGGCTAGGGGTTGCCTTTTTTTTATATTGACAAATTGTGGTTGAGTCCCCTTGCATTGGTAAGGTTATCTTGCTGGTCCTTTTCTTTCGGGTCACCATTTTATAAGTTATGCAATTGGACTAATTGGTCCTGCTTATAAACACAGAAGCCTTTAGCCTTGTGCTTATAGGTGGAACACTAATTACTTGGCACCTTTGAAATTTTCCTTCACTTGTATTCCGTAACTTCTTAGGCACTGTTTCACTCTTTGATGCACCATTTTCCAAATGCCTTTTGAAATTGGCCTTAAAATGGCTCTGTTGTTACATTTATATCCTATAAATGTTTGTATTTTTTGGTTCCTGCTGCTAAATTGTGAAACATTACATAATCTAACCAATGATTCCTTCTTGGTTCAGTTGGCGACCTCAATCATCTTATTTCTGCTACCATGAGCGGCGTAACTTGCTGCCTTCGTTTCCCTGGTCAACTCAACTCAGATCTTCGCAAGCTTGCTGTTAATCTCATCCCATTCCCCCGACTGCACTTCTTCATGGTTGGGTTTGCTCCCCTCACATCCCGTGGATCACAGCAGTACAGGGCCCTTACTGTTCCAGAGCTCACTCAACAGATGTGGGATGCAAAGAACATGATGTGCGCCGCTGATCCACGTCATGGACGGTATTTGACTGCTTCAGCCATGTTCCGTGGCAAGATGAGCACCAAGGAAGTTGACGAACAGATGATCAATGTGCAAAACAAGAACTCATCCTATTTTGTTGAGTGGATCCCAAACAATGTCAAGTCCACTGTTTGTGATATTCCACCAACCGGTCTGAAGATGGCCTCGACCTTCATTGGCAACTCCACCTCCATTCAGGAAATGTTCAGGAGGGTGAGTGAGCAGTTCACTGCTATGTTCCGAAGAAAGGCTTTCTTGCATTGGTACACTGGAGAGGGAATGGATGAGATGGAGTTCACCGAGGCAGAGAGCAACATGAACGACCTCGTTTCAGAGTACCAGCAGTACCAGGATGCTACAGCCGATGAGGAGGGGTACGACTATGAAGAAGAGGAGGAAGTTCAGGAGGAGGCTTGATCTCGGATCTTGATTCTCATCTGTTCTCTGTTTTGCTTCAGTTATGTTGTGGATTTAATTATGGTTTTGTTTCTTAATTCCTTATTTGGGGTTTGGATTGCTGGATTCTCGTCAGTTCTTCGGCCATTATTCACCTGTTTGGTTTTTTTTCATTTTTCTTAGTTTTTAGATGGTAGCAGTTCAGTGGTCTGAAAATATGTTTATTGAATCTGTTAATCGAGTCTGTGATATGAGGTTGGTGTTAAGTAAACATTGTGATGATTAAAAGTGCATTTTGTTTGATGGTTGATTTATTTCATGGCCTCTTTTAATCTTTGTTTTACATTTGAAGGGCTTCAAAATTTCTTGATGACTCAGTTAACTCGCCAAGAAATGACGTAATGTAACAGGTTTGGGGTCAATTTGTTAATAAGTTTGGTTATTATTGAGTCATTTGTTAAGAAACTGTTAATCAGTTGGATTGTTATCACGTCATTCATTAAGAATCTGATAAGATATCGTTTGCTATATTTTGATATTAGGTATGATAATTTTTTGCATGATCTGTAACCGGACACGAAACGATACGATCTATTAACGAATCGTGTTGTTATTGAATTATTTGTTAAGATAACGAGTTTAACACGATACAATCCGTTAAAATAATAAATATAACACGAAAATAATACAAACACGATTTATTTATCAGCCATTCATTAGTACCATCTTTTGCATTGTATTCATGAATTGATAGAAAGTACGAAAAGCAAAAAGAAAAAGATAGATAACATGTGAAATTCTGGAAAAGTACTAATTTCTGGATTTGTTTGCATGTGGGATGAAAGAAAGGCTGATGGGTTCCTTGTAGATAGGGTTTTCAGATTACATACATTTTTCAAAAAAGTACGAAACTTTTTTATACTTTGGTGTCAATAAAATTTTGTGTGTGATGGTCGGATCAAGTAGACTGTTCAAACTTCAAACCACACACAGACGGTCTAGCATTTGCGTTACGGTATGTACGAGGTCATAGTCATTCAGCCATACTTTCTATTTCCTCGTCAACGTTAATTAATTTATTGTGGACTGTTGCTCCTTTGGATGGTTAAATCTGAGTGGTCCTCCTTTGAATGGAGTCTGAGTGGTGATGGAGGAGTAAGTTAAAATTAAAGGCATCATACTAAATACTAATGTGTGCTTTCAGTTGGATGTCTCTATCGTCCGGGTCCCTGGGGGCCAAACCCTAAACCCACCAAAATGCCAATGCTTATCAATGAACGCAATTTGACAGACAAACTGACGTGCTCAAAAGCATATGCTTGGGCAATGTCTTATTCAGTGAGCAGAAATAAGAGAACGATTGTAGAAGAGAAAATTAAACTAGTAAAATTCACTAAATTATTGTAACAGTTAACAAATTCAAAACTTTCTCTGCTTTAAATTATTACAATAATTTCGAATCATCTCCACCTCTTAATAATATTGTGATATCAATTTGTCCAACGTTTAGGACGATCAAACTACAAAGCTATTGGTGTGTCCGCTAAGTTAACCGATACATATTTTCTTTTGAATATTTTTAGTTTTCAAATTAATTTTTCTTAAATACATACTATCGCTCTACTTCTTAAATACTCTAAAGGAACCAGAGTCATAGTAAAAAAATGTTCTAACCATCAAGGTAGTCTATCACTTGCCGTTTTCCAATTAAATTTAAATGTTGACTTATGCCTCAGTACTGTATTTTATTTTTAAGTTTTAGCTTTCCATATACCAAACTAAAAATTACTTTTTATCCTCCCAAAAATGACGCCAACTCAAGGAACAAACAAAACACATAAAAGTTGTAGAAAAATATCTTTATTATCAAATCCATCCGAATATTAAAAGCATACACAAGCTAGAACACAGTCTTGCATACACACATACACACATACACACATATATATCTCATCTAATTAATCTAAGTTGTATTTCTGAATTCTGAGTTCCGTATATATAATTTAAATAACACATAATGATATTCTGGTGTAAATTATCAAGCCCGGCCGGAAACTCAGAGCCCTTAGTGCATGCATGCTGGTGTACTTAGCAAGGAGCCTGTGCTGGGGCAACCTCCACTGGTGGATAAGCAGTTGCCAACTTCCCTGAGTTGATTGGTCCTGGTGCTGTCAATTTCGCATTGATTGGTCCTGGTGCGACATATCCAGAGCTACGAATCTCCGACAACTCTCGACGAGCATTTGCTCCTTGTGCTGCACATAGTGTTGGTAGAAATACACCTACAACCAAAAATGTTATTCCTATTAAGATTTTTCGAAAATGTTTCGTTGCTTGACTTATGTTGTTAGATTGTGAATTGAACAATTATTTACGTTGATATGTACAAATACGCAGTTTGAATTTACAGTCTTAATTAACAATATATAGTTACCTTCACCAGCAGCAAGATTGAAGTAAAGGTCAACAATGTTGGGGCAGCTGCCGTAGCACTGAGGGGAGCAAAGTTTTTGTGTGAAGCGAGACTCCAGGAGAGAGTCTGATGAGATGCCGTAGGATTTGCGGTCAAGCCCACAAGACTTGATGCACGTCTCGCTCTCGATCCAGTCCTTTAACTTATCGGCCTCAATTTCCGATGTTCGGCACGTGTATGCTTCCTCCCCGCTTCTTCTCACGTGCTTCTCAAGCACACAGCGTTTGCCGGACGATGACACCGCGAATGCGCATGCATCGTGGTCTAGATTCTCACATGTTATTCCTCCTGCAAGCATGCAATGTATTACATATTTTTTGCACATAATTGGCTAGTTATCTCGATAAATATTCGATAGATAACAGCATGTTTGATAAATATTGTTGGTTTTCAAGAAAGTTAAAAACCGACAATATTTACTAAACAAGTTTTCAATTTTCAAAAAAAACAAAATTGAAAACTGAAAACAAATTAATATCAAACGATCTAGTAATTTTTACCAAAAAAAAAAAAATGATCTAGTAATTAACACAAACAAACCTAGAGTGGCTTGGACACAAACGGCAAGGGAAAGAGCCAACACTGCGATGTTCTTCAAGCACATGGTAGAAGCCATCTATAATTAGAACAGAAGAAGCTAGGGTTTGTGAACTTGAGCTAGAGAGATGAAGAGGAGGAGAAACTTGTATTGTATGTTGTAAAAATGCATGGTGGGGAGAGCCATTTTATATAATCGTATGTTTACTGTAGTATATAGGAAGAGAAATATATATTTAAATTATTAATTTACAGATGGTGGTCGACTTTGAATATGTGAAAAAATACACGCGAACCCTACTTTAGATTTTAGTGGTGAGATAGAGGACTCCACGAGCGAACCCCGTGTTCGAGGGGTTTCTCTATATTGACCTTAACACCAATTTTAACTTACAAGTCAAATTGTATATGTCGCAACTTCTTTCCTCCGTTATCAGTGGCGTAGATGCATGGTTTTGTATATATGTATATCAATATACCAGCCGCTGTAGTCAGGTCATGGGAGATTGTGTAGGTATATGCTTAATTAACATAAGATATTTTTCAGTGTGCCGGAAATACAGGCTAATACACCAAATGTCATAATACAAGTGGTTAAAAATTCTTTTTCAATTATTCAACCACTTATATTATGACAGATAATGTCCCAAACAGTATTCCTGGCACACTAAAAAACCTCTCGCTTAACACAGAGTTTCATAATCACTAGTGTATATTATATATGCCATATTTTGTACCCATAAATATACTTATACTATTGGCACATGTAGCATGACTCATGATTGGAAATGCTAATTAATTGAACGCTCTGTTGTTTTTTAAGTTAATCAGTTATGCTGGTGATATAATCTATGTTATGCTTCTTCTAGTGGAAAAAAAAAAACCAAATTAATTTATGCTATTTTACTTAACCTACTTTGCTAATCATTATGGTCATTTAATGGAAAACAACAAAATTAATTATTTGTTTAAATAACATCAGTCAATCCAAAAAATAAAAAATTATGGTATTAAAAAAAAAATAAAAAAAATTCCACCATGTAATCAGACGTATCTCTCTCTTTCTGTCTATTTTTTTTGTTTTTTGAACAAATGATAGTATCTACCCTAAGAAAGTGGGAGAGTATGTAACATCCCACATCGCCCAGGGGAGTGATCCTTATATGTATATTTCCATCCCTACCTAGTACGAGGCCTTTTGGGAGCTCATTGGCTTCGGGTTCGATAGGAACTCCGAAGTTAAGCGAGTAGTGCGCGATAGCATTCCCAAGATGGGTGACCCATCGGGAAGTTCTCGTGTGAGTTCCCAGAAACAAAACCGTGAGGGCGTGGTAGGGGCCCAAAGCGGACAATATCGTACTACGGTGGTAGAGCGGGCCCAGGAAGTGATCCGCCCTGGACCGGGATGTGACAGAGTAGGCTAAGCCTTACAATGAGTTTGCCATAATAATGTGGTTCAACTTCGTCTTTGAGAATCGAACGTAAGACTTCTCACATACAAGTAGAGAGAAATACTACTATACCGTAGTACTAAGTGACTTTTCCTTTTGTCTATTATACTCTAATTACACCCCAAAATTTTGTCCTCCATTACACACTCATTTTCTTTGAATTTTGGTTCAAAACTAATGCATGTTATTTTATCAACTTAACCAACCTCATTTTCAATGTAACGAAGAAATTCACCTCAACATAATTTTATATTTCAAAGGCTTTTTCGTCAAAATGCTCTTTGAGATTCGCATAACTCCTCATTCTGGTCCTTGATAATGAAAATCAGTAAAAGTGGTCGCTGAGTTCGTCCACCGTAAATCATTTTGATTTGTCTGTGAAAAATCTGTTAATATTCTCGTTAAATTATCACATGAAGGACTATGTGATTATTTTAAATTGTCACATGAACAACATGACCACATTTTTAAGAGTATTTTTGTCAAACTAACCCATTCACTTAACGATGATATTGACAGATTTTTCACGGACAGATCAAAATAATTTATGGTGAACAAAATAAAAAATCCTTCTATCGATTTTAAATATTACTAACTAAAATAAAGAGTTATGCAATTTCAAAATTCATTTTGACGAAAAGGTTTCTATGATTGTATTAGTGAAGTCAATGGAGCTAACGTTCCTCACTATTTGATAACGACGCCTAAATGGCAAAAGGCATCCCATGTAAAACCAATCGATACTTTCTTTTCCTTTCAGCAATAGTTCCAGTTCCAACGAACACAATCACAAAAAAGAGTATTTTTTTTTTATTTTTTTTTTAACAAACATAGTATCTACATTAAGGAAGTAGGAGAGTGAGTTAAGCCTTACAATGAACTTGTCATAATAATATGGTTTAACTTCGCCTATGACAAAAATCAAATATAAGACTTCTCAATTACAAGTGAAGAAAAACACAACTAGACAGTAATACTAACTAACAAAAAAATACTAATTAAAAACGAAATTTTATACCAACAGATAAACAAGAAAAGGCATAAAGTTTGTCTTAAACGTTATGATGTATGGTAAACCAATTAATAATTTAGTTCGATCTATCAGCCCAACTTTCAGTTGTACCGTATAAATATAATATGCATGGCTAAAAGCTGTCCATGGCTATGGCGCCAACTCACTAATCTCGACCATTTTACAAATAGGACAATATTATATATGGATTAATTAACGAAAAGTCCGAATTAATTAGGCGTATCTGCGTATGCATGCAAAGTTGTGTACGAAACTGGATGATCTACCACGTTGTACGCATATGCGCAATGTCATAAACATATTAAATTTGATTTGATGTTGATTTCTGTGATGATTCTTGGTTTTTTTTTTTTTTTTCCTAACAATATTATCTACACCAAGAGAGTAAAGAAGTAGGCTAAACCTCATAATTAAATAATAATAATATGGTTCAAATTCATTTTTAATGAGAATCAAGTCTAAGACATCTTATTTAAAGTGATGGTTCTTGTTTTTGTCCTGATTAATTTCAGATGATTCATATTTCATAGGGCAGCAGGTGTATGTCTTATGGACAGATCTTAAAGCCGGTCTTTCGTCAATTCTTGGTCAGCTTGGTGGAGAGAAAACTAACACATTATATCGGAATAAAACATACGTTTCCCTATTTCATGGGCCATGGCAATTACCGGTATTTGGAAGAAATTATTGAAAAGTAAAACGTAGACCGGCTTCCGTAAGACCTTGTTGAACATTATATACAAGAAAAACTACAATCTTTAATTTTTTTTTTTTTTTAACACAATAAGGTGGTCTGTTAGAATTTTATACATGTAAAAACCGTTGGTTGTACGTCTCGAATATTCAACATGTTTTTATACTACAGTTATATATCATCTTATGTGGCATTTGATGGAGACAGCCACATCATTTAAATTAATTAGAACTTAATTTAAATTAAAAATCATTTAATAAACCAATAATTAAAAAAAAAAAAAAAAAAAAAAAAAAAGCTGGACTCAGCCGATGCTTTGGCGGGTGAGTCCACTTTGCTTTGCTTGGGAGCTGCATATTCTGAGCCTTTGGAGGGAGATCCTTTTGCTGCATTTATCTCTTCGCTTCGAATTTCCAGTACAACTTCACCTCCATTGGAAGAAACTTTTCCGACGTGCTTACTTCCCCACCTTTGAAAAGCTTTTCTCTTTCTATGACCTTCATTGAAACCCTACCACATCAAACATCACAAAAATCTTACATTAAACCCCAACTAAACAAAACACCAAAATCAGAATGGCATTCAAAAATGCGAATTTTTCATATTGTAGATAAATCCCAAGTTCCTTCTTTTCTTTCAGGATTAATCAAATCTTTATTTTCCAAATTAAATATTGAAGATTTATATCGATGGCTTTCTAACAACACCATAATAAACTAGTTTTGATCGAACTCTACAACATTAAACATCACAAAAAGCTTTCACTAAACCCCAAATAAAGAAACGACGGTACACCAGAAACAAAATCACATTTAAAAATTCTGACTTTTCAACCCTTTAGGCAGATATATCCAATCTCCATCGTTTTAACCAAAGATTGAAACTTTGCAACAAGTAATCTACTTCCCTTAACTGGAAAAGAAGTTAACTTGGCGCCAAAAAGATCAAATCAAACAGTACAAAGTGTCTAAAACAGTAAGAAATATTATTCTTATTCACCTAAATATATAAATAATTAGACTCACCACACCAGAGCTATTCACAGAGCAGAGACCACCCCACCAAGGAAAAAAACATGGAAGATCATTCCAGCAAGTTCTTTGATTCAATAGTGGAAGAAGAAACGGGAGAAGAAGCAGGATTGAACGGAGAAGGAAGGAGAAGACTCCTCGCATGCCACAATCACCATTTAATTCTAGCTTTTTTTTTTTAATTATTGGTTTATTAAATGTTTTTTAATTTAAATTAAATTCTGATTAATTTAAATGATGTGACTGTTCACATCAAATGCGACATAAGATGATATAAAAATATGGTATGAATAGCATTACTGATTCATAAATATCCATATTATAATTTGAGTAGTATACTAATATGACGTGATTCCAGTTACATGAAAATAAATTTATTATAAATGTTGACGAAAAACTACCTCCATATAACATGGAATGCTCTCCCCCGTGGTTTGCGGAGTCAAAGCTTTGAGTAAACAATGGTTTGAGATTGCTGTTGTTAGGGCATGGACTAAGGCGCAGAAATAGTTGTTAACCGACTGAGACATCAGTTTAGACATTCAAGTCTGAATTCCTTTTTGCCTACTAATTCCATGCCCATTTTAATGTCTGGGGAGCCATGCTTTCCTCAATTCTTTGAATTACCCCGAAATTAACTCCGGGTGTCGGAACAAAAGTGTGATTAGACCTAACTTTCTTTTGAATTTCTTGTCAAGCACTTAAACTCAAATGATTACGTTAAGTATTAAGTCATAATTAACTCATGGGAACGAGAAAAACTGTCCCACAAACAGTAGCTCCTAGTTTCTGCGTTTGCGGACGAGGTGGAATGTACTGTATGCGACACAATATATAGTATATTGCACATTTATTGATTCGGACATTGTTTTTAGGCCAAATTTTTTTCGTGATTCATGTGGTGACACGATACTTTTAATGTGACTCTCGTGGTGAAAAAGTTGTTAATTAAACCCTCGTAGTGAGCCTTGTTAGCAATTGAGGTCCAATTCAAGCTTCCATTATTCTTCATTCAAATAAAAGGAAAACTAATAAAAAATGCTTGAAAACTTTGAGTTTTAATAATAAGGACAAAATAAAAGGTAAAATGAATAATACTAGGATTGACTTTTTATTTGTTTATTTTGTGGAAAATATTTTTAATGACTTTTTGTTATGATGAACCACAATATATTGTGGAAGACATACTTTTGTCTTTGTGTGTGTGTGTGTGTGTGTTTTTTTTTTTTTGGGTTGGATATATGCTTTTGTCATTAGTGTGCAAAATACATTATGGTATGAGAAATGATGACTTTCGTGAATGGTTAATGTAAATTATCTCCCCTTTGTTTCAATTTGCTTTGTACATTGGAATCAAATGCCAACTCACAAGAGAAACAAGTGCATGTCATAACTCACCCAGAAAGAGCACATGTATACGGTATACCTAAGTCATGCTAGATGTCTATGGAATAAGATGTAATTTGAATTGAAATGATGAATTTGACTCATCCACATGATAGTCACATGAGTTTATTTAACGGATCATTAACAGAAGTTTGGATTTGGACCTCAATTGCTAACAGGGCTCACCACGGAGGTTTAATTAATAACTTTTTCACCACAAGGGTCACATTGAAAGTGCCGTGTCACCACAGGGATCAAGAAAAAAAAATTTGGCTTTGTTTTTAATACAAATGATATTTTTAACTAAAGGGTGGATAGAATAAATTGGTATCAAACTCATCATTTACGAGATTCAGACTTAAGACCTTTAACTTATAAGAGGAATACTAATAGACTGTAGTACTGAGTAACATTAAATTGCTTTGGACTTTAGTCTCAATTTAATTTAATAAGATATGATAATTGATTTGGAAGACTTAATATTTCGCCTTTGTTTGCATGACATGAAACATGCTCTCCTGTTCATTTGGTTAAATCTAAACGCTCACTCGTTAAAAATGATGTGCGGAAGAGGATTTCCATGCATGGGACTTGAGGTATTGAATCGTAATTGACTTCCATGCATCGAACTGTGAGTCTGTGACTTTTAGACATGGTTTGGGCTTCTGTTAAGAGCTATCGTTAAGAGGGTTTGGGGACTTTTGGGCTTCTTAACCATTTCATTTTCCATGAGATCCAATTGCAATTTTTCAAACATTTTTGTAATTATTTTTTTCCAATAAATATGCATTTCTCTTTATTCTCAAAAACAAGAAAAATGAAATACGCACCCCTGGTTAGTAGCAGGCAGTTATAATATCCATTATTGCAATGAACATTAGGTTACAAATCTATGGATCCTCAAGAGTAATCATGCATCGCCTTCTTACTCTCCGAGATTCTATTTCTTGACGTCCAAGGCTTATGATGTGTATATATAAAAATATTTACTTTATGAATGTTTTAAATAACCATATATATTAACATTTCTACACAAATTACTATCAGAGACCGTGGATGAAGAAAAGTGAGTACGTTGCTCCCTTAGATTTGATCTGAATCGATTAAACCTCACACTGCAAGCATGAGGGAATTAGCCACCATTCCAATCCTTCACACTTTCAGCGTGAGCTTTGATGACGTGCTAGAGACATGACCACTTACTTACATCAATTAATTTGACAGATGACACAATATACACCCTTTAATGTTTTAATCTTGGGCATCCATTACAAATAAGAACAAACATAAAAACTTAAGAACATTTCTAACTAAGAACCCAGAAACTGATTCTTCAAAGCTTCAATTCTTCGATCTTGCACCAACAGAGCTCATAGCTCAGCAATTTGAACATGGGAATATGATGCTCTGTACGGATTGGTAGAAACTAGTAGCTAGCGAAAGACAGTGATAAATAAATATCCAGTGTAATGGTGTTACTGTTGCTTTAACTTGTTTTTTTATTGATGATTATTCGTTCATTAATCATGCGGGGTTCCTTCACACCTGCCATGTCTTTGAGTATATATGTTCATATATTTGGCCCTGATTCCAGAACGACAAAAAAAATGAAGGGTTCAGAGTAGTAGTTCAGCTCTCATGCATACGCATAAATAACATATGTGTGTGTGTCCATCAGCGAGGCCCCATGGCTCCATGGGGCAAGAAAATATCCGACAATAATTACTGCTTTGATGCTAAATTTCTTGATGAGACGTTGACTTCGACATTTGTCTGATAAAATATCTCGTGCAGGATTTTGTAGTGTAAGAAGACTGTTCTTAATCTTATTTTATTTGAATCCAGTGATTTAAAACATCACAGTTTCTTGACAATGATAATATGCATGGCTATGAATTTCTATAAAAATATGGATGAATTTCTATAAAAAAAATGGATGATGAAATGATCCATCTTTTTGCCCTGCGTGATCACAGCAGGCGCATGGTGAACTGAATTGCACGGAGACTCCGATGATAATGGAACAACCATTATCAAACTAAGAACGAACCCTATCAAGAAATTAGCACAAGAACAAGTAACCACACACACACACACACACACACACATATAATTCCATAAATAATATTGACGAGTGATATACTCATCAGCTATATGCTTATGATCAATCTAGCACTTAGGTGGATATATTATTTGCAACTATTTTCCAGTTAAAAAAAACCTAGCCAGTGAAGTTTCTGCAAACATTTCATGCTTCACCCTATAATAACCAGCTGCGAATTAACTAAATTAACTAAATTATAATCATGAAGTTAATAAGCTCTCAAAAAATTCATCAAATTAATTCGCAAAGTAACGAGGGTTTACTTTTGATTTCATACCTGGATAAACCGATTATCACATGAGTTAGAAGTTTAGAGCAGATGATGGAAACGTCCGAAGGGATTGCATGATCCAACTATTTACATAGACGAAAACATAACCCGCCATGTCTGTATTGACGATGTTTGACATATATGATCAATTAGATCAATGCGATCCCTTTGGAAGCCTCCACCTGCACTAGATATATATTCTTCAAAATCCTAGCTCTCAAAAGAAATATGCATATGGCGTATATGGTGATTCAAGTCTCAGGAACTGGTTATTTGGGTTCTTGATGAGAAGGTTAGCTGTCTTTTAAATGCACAAGCTAAGCCCTTTTTGTTCTGTTCATGCATTTCGTGTGATGGGAAAGTTCATTTGCGTATGAGTCATGAGAATCGAGATGCTTATTTTCCTATCAGTCTATCTTTTCCAATCTACCTAGTTACTAAAGGTCAGCCAACTACTTTTCTCAACAAGTACTGTCAGAATCCACACGCTTTCAAACCACATTTCAATAATATATTAGCTACGTACGTGATCAATGATGCATACAATTAATATTTAAAGAGATAAATCCTCTTAAATAAGAGGACGGATCCATGATATCATTTTTTTATATAGGTTTTTATGGGACTTACTTCGTAATGTATTTTAACGATCTGAGTCTTCTATCTTTTAGAAGATCATTCATAGCCTAGGTCATCCTTGAAAAAAATTAGACAAATTCATTACCATTTAGATATTCATTTGTAGTAAAAAAAATAGACGAATACAGTTCTACAAAGAAACCCTAAACTCTTAAGAGTTTTAGATTTATGTGATTTTTTGTAGACATGATTTTTTAGGAAATATCTAAACGATAGACGATTCGGATCGTTTAAATACATTACAAAGTGGGTCCTACAAAAACATGTGTAAAGAAATGGTGTCATGTATCCGTTCCTCTTAAATAATAGGGAACTTTAACGAAAAACTCCTCGTATTATTTACTTTAACGAAAAATCACATTGTTACACTAAAATGTCAATTCTGGTACCATTCACCTTATCATTTTTTTTGTCTTTATCGTTAAAACTCAAAATTTTCAAAACCTTTTGATTAGTTTTTCTTAAATAATATGACATATAGCGACAATGCCATGCAATACAAAAATATGATCTCGCTAATACTTTCTTTTCAAATATTTCTTCATATACCATAAGTAAGTTGTATGTAAGGATTATTTGGGCAATTAATTAATGGGGGGTATTATGTATGTAATAACGAATGAATACCACATCATATATGAACATATGTGGCCTACGGCATTCAATCGGTTCAAAAGTAATCAATCTCTAAACGGGGTATAGTAGTAGTAAAGGGAACCGACAAGATAATATGGGGGCAACTGCAGAATTGCATTTGCATGTTCATATAAAGCAGGTAAAAGTTGTAATCAAATATCTATTCTTGCCACCAAAAAACTCAGCATTATTCCCTATATAGAAAATGACATTTTGCTTTACACGCGTGTAATTTTCTCTTTTTAAATTTAATTTTTATTATTTTAAATATTTAATTGTATTAAAAAATTAATTTACTGTCTATAATTTGAAAAATAAAGGTTAGTAACTCTCTTTACGTCGGGTTGTTTTCTTTTGATTATTTTACTAATTTGTCTTATTTAATTAAACTATTCTTGTTCAGAGTTGTAAGAAGGGAGGGGCATTTTGGTACTATGAATGAGTTACCAATTTGCCTTCTCCCTTCATATATATAGAGAGTTTTAATTATTTTAGTATATTTAACACTGTTCATGCATGTTCACACGTATACATACACGACTTTATTTATAGTAAAAGAAATTAATGTTGTTAACCTCGATGTCACATGAACAAATGTTTAATTGCATTGGGGTTGATTTGAATGTGATCGAAAAGACATTTATATTAAGACAAAATTAAGGAAGCCAACTACCACTAGCAAGTGCATAGTTTAATTTGCAGCTTAACCATGACCATACCCCTCTCAAGTCTCAACATTGAATATGACACATTTTCGTTTCAATCATTCATAAATACGGAAAATTATATATATTTTTGATCGTATACACAAGTTTTAGTGTGTCAAGTAAAATAAAAAAATATAAACGATGTAATCTCAATACATTCCTTGAAGTAAATCAATTGAACTTTTCAACAATTCTCAAGGTGATCGGTAGTTTTTTTCTTTCTTACAATCGATATTGAATGAAGGGAGAATCTAAAAATCTCATATTTAAGCACGAATGCTCTTAACCAATTGAGTTACAAACTCTTTACCGGATAATATCATTTTTAAATTTAACGGATTGAGGTGATGTTTCTCCTGTTTCAAACAAAGAGATGATGTTTCTCTTAACAAATCCAGTCTAGAGGTTGCCATTCGGCCCAAATTACGGACCAGGCCTACTAAGGGCTAAAATTTGGTCCTTGTTAATCGGCCCGTATTAGCTTAATAGGGTTCAATCGGCTGTGTTTGAATTAAAGGAAAAAAAAACCCTGAGAGCCTGCAACTCTCGCCTGTGCAGTTTTCTGATCATTTCCCGCCTATCTTTGCCGCTCCTCAACTGAGAAGAAGAAGATGCCGGCGACCCACTTCGGCGTCAAGTACGCCGTACACATCATCACCTCCCACTTCGGCAATCTTGTCGCTGTACTCTCTCTCTCTCTCTCTCTCTCTCTAAAGCTTCCACCTTTCCCCCCTCTTTTTTCCTAATTTTTCTGTAATGATTACTAATTAATGTGTTTACGGATGCAGAATGTGTGTGAAAATCTTCTGAAACGAGGACCCCTAACACTGAGACTCCTAATTGGGTTCACGGAGCTCACCCCTCAGCAAGTCAAGAACTCCCTCCTCATCCTAATCCAGCACAATTGCGTTCAGCCCTTCTCCGTCGACCAAGCAGGTACTTCTCTCACACCCTAACCCTAACAATCTTAGTGTTCGTTGAAAATTTTGTGACCCCTTTTGGGATTTGATTGATTTGATCAATGTGCATGATAAAGTGAGTGACTTGGTTTGTGAATGTGATTCAGAGGGCCCGAAAGTCACTCAGTATGTAGCGCTGTTCGATAACATACTCCATCGATGGAGGTTTGCCAAATTCATGACGGTTGTTTCCCAGGAATTCGATAAAGAGGCTAGTTTTTTGCCTCTTTTGGTTTTGACTTTGGTTTGTTGTTTTTAATTGATCAATTCTCAGATTACTGCCTTTTGCTCATTGTTTTGCAGTGTGAACTAATTATTAAGGATTTGCTTGAGAATGGTAGGCTTACACTAAAACAAATAACTGAAGGTAACCCTTTTCTCAGCGTTTGATTGCATTTTTTGTTGACTGGTTTTGCTTGAATTTACAGCTATTTGGGTTCTTGCGTTTGAGCGTACAACTAGTATCAGTTCCCATAACTTGCTATGTTTTTGTTTTGTAAATTATAGGTTTTTGTTTTATTTTTCAAAGCAGGAGAATATGCAGTTAAGGATACTGTTGAGAAAAGCTTTCTTAAACTTGTGAACGCTCATTTTGTGGAACGCTGCCCTGCTCCTGAAGCAGTTCTTGAAGAAGCAAGTAAAGATGCTCCAAAGAAGCGAGGTCCTAAGTCTTCCAAGGTAAAGACTCCACTTGTATGCTTGAAAATTAAGAAAAGAGATCTTTAGTTATGCACCTCCTTAAGTTGCACATTTTTTACTTTGTTTTTTCAAAAGTGTATTTTATAAATCATTTTTGGAATTTCAACAGATTGTTGAAGTACCGGAGACTATAGAACAACGTGTTGTAGCAGCAGCAGCACCTTCAGCAGCTATGAGATTTTCAATCCTGACTGATTCTGAAACCGATGCTCATGGGGGTAGTTCTTCTAGTATGAGTACTGGGGACAAGGTTGGTATAAGTATGGTCATTTTTAGACACCAGGGATAGTTTGTTCTAATATAAAAGTTCTTGAAAAGCTACTCTATCCTAATGTGCTATTTTCTGCATTTACAGCGAAAGCATGATGCTTTGGAGTTGGATGAAGAATTTGCTAATAATGAAGTGGTTATTTGGCGTGCTAATTTTGAGGAATTCATTCGCTGCCTAAGGCACAAGGTCAGTTTTCTGTCTGCTTTCTTTTGAATTATAATTATCCATTCATACTAATGAGAGCAGTTGGATTTTCTGGTTAAACATTATATGTTGAGTATGTTTTGGCATAATCTGGATTTGTTTATGCGGATGCTCTGTATGCTCTATTGATACTAACTGGTAGAGATAGTTCAGTTTTCGATGACTAGAAGAAGGTCAAGAGTGAGTTAAATATTGCCATGCTTTTCAGAAACTACATGTTGGGTTTCCATTTGAGTTCAAAGTTCAAACATTTCCCTCTTTTGTAAGTATAGAGTTTGGTTCATTGAAATGAACCTTAGAGTAGACTGAACATCCAAATGGGCATTGCTTGGTTGACAAAAAAGAATTAATTATGCAAGGGAAAGGGAAATCCTCCGTGGAATGTCCAAATACTACCTGAGTTCTTTCTCTGCATTATTAATTGTGTTCCTATACGTAACCTTATCATTTTACGAGATGCATTCCTTTATCTTTTGATATGGTTCTGCATGGTCTGCCTGAGGTGAAAGTAAATTTTCGTTTTATGGTCTAGGCTTGCGTTGAGAATGTGAGAGCACGTCTGGATGACGGAGCTGCACTTGTCTTAAGAGCAATGCTTAAGTCAACTAGAACTGCAGAGAAGAAAGTAAAGATGGAAAATTCAGGTAAACTTGAAGTATGGATTATTGCGTGGTGAATTGGTTATTTTCAGTTCAATTATTCGGCCAAGAAAATGTTGATGAATTTAGAAATAACATGATACGTTAATAATTTCTATAGGCCAAGACAGTGTTGATTCAGAACTACTTAAAATACAAACAATTTAACAATAGTAGTTGGGGAGGAGTATGATCAAACAAAAAAGAAAAGTTCGAAAATTAGCCAAGGAATAACCTTAATAAATTAAACCAACAAATACAAATAATAATTATTTTAGAAATAACATGAAACCTTAATAAATTAAACGAAGGAATAGTTTCGTTGATTGTTTTGCTGATTGATTTTGCAGTTCCTGTATCATTCAGTACTATTTATGAGGAGGTGATAAACAGTGAAGCTGGTCGTAATTTGACATGTGATCGCGTCAAAGCTTCCCTCAGCCTGTTGTGCGATGAAAGAGATGTAGATGAGGATGAATCCTATAGTGTTGGTACAATTCGCTTCTTCTCATACAATTGATTTCTGGTTTTTATTTTTCCTTTATCTTTCTTATGGATAACATAGTAACAGATTTGCACTGAGTTTTCATTGACGCATTTATTTCTTGTACAGACTTGAAGAAAATTCTGGAGCTGGCTCAGAATGATGAGGTTTTATCTGATTTTGTTCTTTCAAGATATATGAAAATTCATTTTTATTCACCAGGACCGATGTCTAAGTACCTTTTCTTTTCTGCAGGTGGAGTCAATTGTTTTGAAAAGATATGGGAGAGATGCTTATAAAATGTTTAGGCTACTGTCGACTTCAAGTCGTGCACTTGAGACGGATAAGGTAATAACTTTGTTATGATCTCCACCGCTCGCATCTGTACGATGAATTATTCAGTTTATCATGAGCGTTGGTAGCATGACCACAGAATTTAACGTGTTTGGGGCAAGTCAAGGTTTTTGTTGTTGTTAGAATAGCACATTTGATATTTCAAATACTTACCCCAATACTTTATAGATTTCAGATATGACACTTGTTGAAAAGAAGGAAACTCCCACAATTCTCTATAAGCTGTGGAAGGATGAGTACTTGCTTATGGAGGTAAAGCACTTCCCTGTTATATGTACCACATGCACACGCACACGCAGCCGTGCTAGTGTTCTTACTTTTGCTCTCTACGACAATGTGTCATCTCGTTGCAGAGATTAGCTGTGACGGGAGCCAGACAGGCACAGTTCTTGGTGTGGAAGGTAGACAGGCCCATTGTTTGGAAACATGTTTTAGATGAGATGTTCCACGCAGCGCTGAATCTGAGTCTTCGACTGGCGTACGAGGACGAACAGATTAAAGAGGTTCGTAAAAACACACAATGTTATGGTTCTAGTATGTTCAGTTCGGAAACGGTTCACATTCGTATTCTGAACAATCGAAGTTGTCTCATATTTGCAGGTGCAACTTCTCCCAGCGCACAAGCGAACGGGGCCATTGGGGAAACAATGGCAAAGATTTAGAAATGTGGTTTATGTTATGCACGCATCCCAATTGAAGATTGATGATGCTATCATGCTCTTCCATGACTTCTGATTCTACACTAATTGTAACTCTTATTAATATGACTCGAAAACATTAAAGAATATTGCTTTGATCACTTATATTTCTATAAGATGCTGCAATGGCAGCATGGTTTATATACAGTTTGCATATACACGCATGCAATAAACAATATTAAAGGTGACAGATAAACAACAATAAATGTGGCAGAAGCCATGTGATTGTCTGGCTGGGATTATTCCTTCTGTTGTCCAGGTTGTACAGCAGATAGTTGAGTCCAGGTTGTACAGCAGATAGTTGAGAGAGTTATGTAGGTAATGGACTGTGTTGTTATGATCCTTTCGGTTGCAGATTGCAGCGGGAAGGTTGTGGTTGAATTGGTGGTGCTGACGTGGACCTTTCGTTAGGGTGTAGAGATTTATCCAAACTAGGTTTATCACGCCCCCGCAAGCTGACAGGGCGTTGACGAACAGGAAGCTTGGAGATAAGATAATGGAAGTGAACAGATGACAACCCTTTGGTTAAAAAATCGGCAATTTGGTCTGTGGTAGCCACATAACCAACTTCGATTTCCTTGCGAATGACCTTGTCCCAGATGTAGTGATAATCCACTTCAACATGGCGCATGCGAGCTTGATAAACGGGATTGGAAGCAACAGCAATGGCGCTGATATTATCACACCAGAGACGAGGTGGCTGTAATGGAAGATATAGATCACGGAATAGATTGCGAAACCATGAGAGATGGGCAGAAGTATAGGCAAGTTGACGATACTCCGCCTCTGTGCTAGACCGTGACACTCCACGTTGCTTTTTCGAACTCCAGGAAATTAAATTATCGCCAAGAAATATGCAGTGACCGCCAGTGGAACGACGGTTATCAGGGTCGCCAGCGTAGTCAGCATCAACGAAGGCAGTTAGAGTGAGAGGACTGGGTTTGTAAATTAAGCCATGATCATGTGTGCCTTTCAAATACCGTAATATGCGTTTGACTGCAGCCCAATGTGCAGTAGTTGGAGAGTGCATGTACTGACATACTTGGTTGACAGCGTAAGCAATATCAGGACGGGTAAAGAGAAGGTATTGAAGGGCGCCCACAACACTGCGAAAAGAAGATCCATCGGAGAGGGGCTCACCATCATATAAACTTAAGCGTTTACCACTGGGAACTGGCGTTGAGATGGGCTTGGCGTCAGCCATATTAGTTTTCTGTAGAAGCTCCAAAATGTACTTGGACTGAGTGAGATAGAAGGCAGAAGGCGTCCGGGAAACCTCCATCCCCAAGAAGTAGTGTAAGGGCCCAAGATCTTTCATTGCAAAATGAGTACCAAGCTGCGTGATAAACTGAGACAAGTGAGCATTGGTGTTCCCTGTGATTAAAATGTCATCCACATAGATGAGAAGATAAAGGATTGTTGAGCCATCAAAATAGGTGAAGAGAGACGAGTCAGCTTGGGAAGCAGTGAAGCCCAAGTCTTCTAATTTCTGGGAAAAACATTGAAATCAAGCACGGGGTGCTTGTTTCAAACCGTATAGGGACCTTCGAAGTCGACACACATGAGAGGGAAACTGTGGATCAATGAACCCTGCAGGTTGGCGCATATAAACTTCCTCATTCAAGGTGCCATGAAGGAAGGCATTTTGAACATCAAGCTGGCGGATAGGCCACTGAAAGTGAAGAGCAATAGAGAGAATGAGCCGAATGGTGGCATGGGTGACCACCGGACTGAAGGTTTCGCAGAAATCAATGCCTTCTTGCTGATGAAAGCCATTTGCAACTAGTCTAGCTTTAAAACGCTCGATGGAACCATCAGAGTTCTTTTTTTATGCGATACACCCATTTATTTGGTAACACATTCATAGAAGACTTGTAGGGTACCAAAGTCCAAGTGCCTGTACGCTGTAAAGCGTTAAATTCATCTGCCATTGCTTGGCGCCATTGGGGAGACTTATTGGCCTGGGAGAAACATGTGGGCTCAACCAAAGTATTAGTAACAGTAGTGATGCAAGCATATCTGGGATTTGGTTTTCGAATTCCTTGTTGACCACGCGTGATCACGGGATGAGGCCATCAATTACAGTGCCTTGGAGGCTCTTCTTCTTGGTGCAGAGAGACGTCAAAAGCTTCATACTATGTTTGAAACTGGGCCCACTGCCCTTGCTGCTGGAAGAGGTCGTTCAGGCTCTTCCCGTGGTCACGGTGCTCCTCGCGGAGGCCGTGGTCACTTCAATGGCAGCCGTGGCCAGTTTCCTCCTCGTCCTCAAGGCCAAGACCACTATGCTCCTCCACCCCGACAACCCCATGATGGCGTTCTTGGTGCTCCTCCTTCTCCAACCCAATCTGGTGGCCGTATCCAATGCCAAATATGTCGTCATCACGGCCATTCTGCAATCAATTGTTTCAATCGCCTTAATATGGCCTATGAAGGACGTGTTCCTGCTCCACGTCTCCAAGCTTATGCTGCTGCTGCACCGTCTCCGGCATCTGCCTCTCCCTCTGGCATTCAAAACTGGCTTTTTGACTCTGGAGCCAATGCACATATCACCAATGATTTACATCAAGTTTCGAATCCTCGTCCCTACAATGGCACTGACAATGTTAATGGCGTGGTGGATGGATCAGGTTTGCACATTTCTCATGTTGGCACTTCTTTTCTTCACACACCCAATCACTCATTTACCCTTCCCAACACCCTTCACTGCCCTAATGCTTCTACTAATGTTATTTCCATCAATCAATTTACCAAAGACAACCATTGTTCACTAACCTTATATCCCAATTCCTACCGTGTTCAGGACCTTCAAACGGGGAAGATGCTTTTGCACGGCCGGAGTAAAAATGGTTTTTATCCATTTTCAAGTTCTTCTGTGGTCAACCATGGAGTCTCTGCATTTGTTGGTGTTAGAGTGTCGGATGCTATTTGGCATTCTAGGTTAGGTCACCCTGCAATTTCTGTTTTGCGTCGTCTAATTTCCCAAAATAAATTACCTTTAACTGGTAATGCAACCTACGACTTTTGTTCATCCTGTCCCCTTGGCAAAAGTCATAAGTTGCCATTTAATTTATCTTCTTCCCAGTCATCGTGTCCTTTGGAATTAATACATTCCTATGTATGGATTTCTCCTTCTTATTCAATTAATGGTTACAAGTATTATGTTGTTTTTGTGGATGACTTTTCTCGTTATGCATGGCTCTATCCTTTAAAGTTAAAATCTGATGTTTTTCAAACCTTTGTTCATTTTAAAAAGCTTGCAGAAAATATGTTCAACACCAAAATTAAATTTTTTTCAATCTGATGGTGGAGGAGAGTTTGTCAATTCCTCTTTTAAACACCTTTTTTCTCAACATGGCATTCATCATAGACTCAGTTGTCCTCATCATCCCGAGCAAAACGGTCTCGCAGAACGTAAACATCGTCATCTTGTTGAAATTGGCTTAACTTTACTTGCTTATGCGTCTCTTCCTCACACTTTCTGGGATGACGCTTTTCACACTGCAAATTATCTCATTAATCGTCTTCCCACCAAAATCTTGAATGGCGTCTCCCCTTTCCAAAAACTGTTTTCAAAATCACCCCAGTATGATTTTCTCAAAGTATTTGGTTGTGCTTGTTTTCCCTATTTACGTCCATACACTGATACTAAACTTAAGTTTCGATCAAAACAATGCATTTTCTTAGGATACTCATTAAATTATCAAGGTTATAAAGAATATTGCTTTGATCACTTATATTTCTATAAGATGCTGCAATGGCAGCATGGTTTATATACAGTTTGCATATACACGCATGCAATAAACAATATTAAAGGTGACAGATAAACAACAATAAATGTGGCAGAAGCCATGTGATTGTCTGGCTGGGATTATTCCTTCTGTTGTCCAGGTTGTACAGCAGATAGTTGAGTCCAGGTTGTACAGCAGATAGTTGAGAGAGTTGTGTAGGTAATGGACTGTGTTGTTATGATCCTTTCGGTTGCAGATTGCAGCGGGAAGGTTGTGGTTGAATTGGTGGTGCTGACGTGGACCTTTCGTTAGGGTGTAGAGATTTATCCAAACTAGGTTTATCAAACATGACTTAATCAAAAGCGTTTTTAGTTGTTAAAGAACACTTTTGATCCATTCCAAATTGGATCGCATAAAAAGCAAAGTTCGTATTTCATAACTGATCTCCCAAAATTGTAGCAGCAATGTGTGTATCATGAAAACGGAAAAAATCACTCTGATCAGAAAACTCACTCGTTATAGCCAGATTAGCGTCTCCCGATCGATTGTTGCTGCTTCAATATGCCACCGTCGTCACCCCATAAAAGACTGGTTTGGTGCTGCCTGCAGAAAACATGACGAAAGGAAACCTTAATAAAAATGGGGATTAGTTGTGGGATACACATCATATTGAATTTTAACTATTCAAACCGTTTATTTTTCAAATTGTACCTTATAGATCATCTTTGTAAAACATTAGCCAAATCGAAAATATTTAAGACATCTAATTGGATTAAAAAAAAAAAAATACTCTCTCAAAGAAAGGCATGGGGCATTACTTGTTATGTTAGGTTCTTAGTATGAGTTGTCTACCTTTTCTTCTTTTACTTCATGGTTCCAGAAGTGCTTTTTCAACTCTCAAAAAGAAGTAGACCTTCTTTCGTCCTCACTTTTGTTCAATTATAAATAACATCTAATTTGATTCAAAAAAATTAACGAATATTTTGTTATATGAGAAACAAACACCAAGTTCCATTCATTGGCAGCAAACAACTATAAAGTAAACAAACAAGATTGGAAGTTCACTCCCACATATATACTAAATCAAATGATTCCGGTACTCCCATCCTTGCAACGTGCTCTTTAAACATTGTTACTTTGGTCCTTTATCAAACTCCAATGAGTTTGCCAATATACTTCCAGTGAAGAACAAATTCTTCCATACACAATTAAACTAGTTATTCAACGAATAACCGTGACATGCAACTATGAATTGAATTGAAAACACAATAGTCTTAAACAGAAATAACATAGGGCAAACAACACTCCCACTAATTTAGCATATCAACAACTTAATGTCTAAAAGACTTTCTTATAGCAGTAGAATTAGCCAATTTCTAACTGGTTAGCCACAATGATTCTTTATTGCACACATCCTTTAAATAAACCAAAGGAATCCTTACTGCATAAGCGTACATTAGGTTAATATGCAAGAATAACTTGATTGTAGAACAACACTTTTGATAAAATTTTGAAACATGCACGCTTTACTAGCCACTTTACTACGTCAATCAGTTTATACATAAGCATATTACCATAAAATTTCCTAAGCATGCAAATTAATCACAATCTCAATAAAAGAATATCACAGTCTGTCCTCCACAAGATATCTCATCTATTTCTTGGCATTCGTTTCAACATGTACGATGGATACCCAAAATATATAATCAAACAGTAAGGGATAATTAGACCTACAGAGATATAGGTATTAATTTTAGGTCTTATTAACATCATACTCGTTATTAAAGATCAACATGCAACCATCCAAGGCAACCATCTGCAAGAGACAGAAGATTGACAATGCACACATACATCATATACTTATGCAACTTAATCATGTTGTCATTGTCAGAAGCATGATTTAACGGTAATTCTTTCAACAATCAGTTGCTATCAACAATTAGTTGCTAATGTATTACACATACATTCAACATAGAAGGAAACCTTAATACATATGGTAAAACTTTAGTTCATTTTCATGTGTTAGGACGATACAAAAACAACTCCCACATACATTTAGAACACTGCCTATGGAACAATTTAATGAGTATGTAGCCCAAAACTTTTTACTTTTATTCTCCCACTTGGGAAAACACTCCTTCACCAAAATTAGTCATAACATACATATTCAATAGGTACTAAATTATCAGAAAGTAGCAGGAAGTACGGTGCTGAAAAAACTTGCACCAGTGGTAACACATTGTCAAGAGCTACACTGAGTTTTGGAAGAGTTTGTACCCAAATGGAACAGGGGTGTGGAGTTCTACTGAAAACTCATGGCACACAGGGTCAAAACATATTATTACTATGACTCATTGAGTGAAAACTAGATGCAAACATATTTCAGGGGTCCGTATCTAGTATCATACCGAATACAGTTTCTATGTCATGCTTCCAATAAAATTGATCCCCAAAACAGCAGAATCATTGGTACAGAAAACATACCCAAAAACTATGAATTTCGCCTTCTTCATCTGCTCCGCTATATATTAATTTTCATTATTCATGCATGATTATGTTACACCTTTGGGCAAGAAACATAAACAGCCATAATTTGATAATAGATTATGTAACCTTATAGTATAACAGTCATGTAAAAGATTAAGAAAACAACCAAGATTTCAAGTCTTTGGACAAGAAAACAGTCAACTTAATTCTCTTAAAAATGTTATACCCATCTCAACCCATTCATACATTCCTCTCTTTGGAAAAGAATATTGACATGTTATGAATTTTTAAAACCATAATTTACATAATCCAATTCTTGAAGTCTTTTCACTTTGGTGAAAAAGATATGTACACAAGTCAGCATTGCGAAACTTCACTCATATATTTTTCTTGAAGAAGTAGAGGTTAATGTAGAAAATATTATCGTAGAAGACTTTATATTTATACAATTAACATTGATGTATTAATCTGTTAAGAATAAAAACATCAACCCTACATGCAACTTTTATTTATTTATTTTTTTTTTTCAGCCTAAGAACTAACGTTGATTCTCTATATGGTCGTGGTAGTGGATTTAATCTCTTCTAAAATCTATTAGGCTACCCCAACTGTACAATGACAGTTTGCTTACACCACCAAATCCTGTCATCCGTGAATATAATCATAATTGGGTTGATTTCATCTTTTTTCCGAACAGGACGACTTACTGAATTTGTAGTGCTGTCATCTTTGAGAATTTCAGTGAGCATTTTCACGGTAGATGAACATTGCTGGTCACCAGCAGCAAGGCAAAGGACGGCCACACATTGAGCTATTGAATACAAAGCTTGCTTTGCAACCCCACCCAACTGAGGAGATGGTTTAGCACTCAAAAGAAGAGAGTCTAGCAAGGCATCAAAACTTGTATTTGCAGAATACACCAAGGAAGCGAAATTTTTTTGCAAAGCCTGCATTATTCAACAAAGCATGTTCTCAAACATGTGCAAAGTTTCAATATCATAACAAAACACCCGCTAGGTAGAAATTTTTTACCGAAAGGGCAAGCCCCTGCACCAATGAGCTTCTAATTAACGGTAGTGCTTGCGGAAGAACTTTGCTTCTAAGAGCCAAACCAACAACTGGGCTTGACCTGTCCACCATCAAGGTGCAGCAGAGTTCCAGGGCAAGGGCCGTCATATGCAAGTCCGAATCACTGTAAAGGGGTATTGAAAGGAAATTAGGGTTCAGAAACTAAACCACCCAGCTACTGATCAGACAATACTATGAATAGAACAAAATGAAAAAAAGGTTGAAGCAGCAAAAGAACCTTATCAGTGTAGCAAGCTCTACAATAATAACTTCATAAGCTGCTGAACCAATTTTGTTGCCGTAAGCAATAATTAGGGAATTCAAGGTCCCCAATTTGGCCTGTCTTAAATGCCGATTGGCCTGATTTCCACAAAGGCAAAGAATGTTAGAAAAAATTCCATACATGTTTGAGGGGTTCTAAAACAAATGTCATAAAAAATAATTACCTTCACAGCTGAAAGTCGAGTGATCTCGTTTCCCATTCGATCAACAAGCACAGGAAGGCATACAGGTAACTCAACATCAAGGTTATCCCAAATGTTGACACAACTAGACCCATGCAAGATATAGCACATTCCTTGACCTCCTGAATAAGAAATTCAGGTCACATTCGTAATACATGGGATGTGAAGCAGAGTTGGTCACAATCTCATCCTTTTTCTGTATAAGATCCCTCAGCTTGAGGTAATCATCCACAACATTTGTAAGCTTTAGCTCCCTGATGAAATTCTGGGGTCGCATACCAGTATCGACAAAATTTTGAGAGTAATCATTCTGCTCTCCTCTGGAAGGAGCTTTACCAGGAGGTCCACTACTTTTATGAGGAACCCAACCACCTTGATTTTTATCAGCCGGAGTTCCTCGTCCCATTGGTCCTGCAGAATTAAAACCAGGGCTAGATATGTTTGGAGGAACTCCCCTTCCATGGCCAGATCGGTTAAAAAACATGGCAGGGTTTGTCAGAGTACCCCTGTTAGGAGGAAATCTTGGGCCTGATGATCCAGGAGGGACCGAGGAGAGACCAGGTGGGACACCTAACATATTCATGTCAACTCCCCCGAGCCCCAGGCCGCACGGTAGGAGAAAATGAAGGAATGAAGACACCATGGGACATCGGTGGACCTGGAGCAGGTGACATGCTAGGTGTAAGTGGCTGCATAGGTCCAGGTGGTGGCATTCCAAGGGGGCCAAACGGCGATTCCATTATTGGAAGTGGCATTCCTACCAGTTGGCTATCTCTTCCAGTAAGCCTGCCCCTTCCTCCTCTACCAACTTTCCCCCCTTTCATCCCATGGAAGAATTTCTATTGAAGAAACCTGGCTCCGCATTTCCACATGGAGGCTGTGAACCACCCCACAGAACTTTGGCCACCAGTACCATGCCCAGGCATGGAACCTTTCTGTCCTCTTCCTTTGCCTCCATGGGCATCAGAGTCCTTCCTCCATGAATTCTGATATCGCAAGGAGTTAATATCATCTGTATATCTTTCCTTTGAATCTTCCCTAGGTGGCCCAGATCCATACATCACTCCTTGTTCTGTCATCCTGCAGATATGCCCACTCTTCATCACTCGGTGCTGATTTCCCATCAGACTGCTGACCAGCTTCGGTCCTCCTAGCAAAGTTGGATACTGATTCTTCTCTTCCTTAATCTATAGGTTTAGTTTGGATCTCATTCACATCGTAACTTTCATTTGAAATTCTAAATTTTGATGAGGTCTTCACAGCTCCACCACAGCTTCCATCTTTCCTATTACTAGACCAACCGTGAGGCCTTTCATTGTCAGTCCTCTCACGACCGTGTCGTGGCAGCGCTCACTCCCTACCATGATCATAATTGATGTCCCCATTTTTGGAGTCTTTTTCACTATTGCCGGGTTGCCTTCTTTCCAGTTCTCTTTGGAACCTTCCTGGTCCTTACTCCTGCCAGTCCACTTATCATCTCTGCCTTTAGGTCGATCGTTCCTATAACCATCTTTTTCCAGTTCCTTCCTCTTAAGATTAAAATTCCTGTCATAATCCATCTTAAAGTATTCTGAATCCTGATAACGCCTCCCACTCCTATCAGGTGTCCTCAACCTGGTGGTACTTCCTACTTCTCTAGGACCCTTGTCTTTCGTCCCCCCATTTGTTTCTTCATCTGCATTCAAAGACCTCTCCTTGCTTTCAGCAACATCCCGACCAGTTGGAGTTCTCTGCTGTCTATGCCCTTCAGTTTTCTCCCTGCCTGATCTATCTTCACAAGTGGCAGGACTATCCCTGTTGTCTTCTTCCAGTGTTTCTGTCCTGCTTTTGCTCTTACTCTTTTCCACATCAGGTTTTCTCTCTTCCCTGTTAGATTTGGTAGGCCTATCACTGTTTGAATCCACACCACGGATTCTCCTGTCACTGGGTTCATTTCTCGCAGAGACACTCCTCTCTTTAGAACTCTCATACTTAGGATCAGAAGGCATACTGCTTCCTGAATCAGATTTTTCATAATGACTTTCTTCTGCCTTTCTCCCACCTTCTGATTCATCCCATCTTCTTCTTGAGGTTTTCACCTGTTCAGAAGAACCATGCGTCCTCTCGCCCTGCTTTCCTTGCTCTCGAATGCCTGGAATCTCTACCAAGTGTCTTTTCGGGCTCTCCTTCATGGGGTTTTCCTCTTTACTCCTACTTTCACTCTGAGTATCCTCATGATGTGTAAGCTTTGAGCTCGTTTTCCTTCTATCACTTTCTTCAGCTCGAATTGACCCTCTACTTCCCGACTTATCTCCGCCATCTTGCCTGTTCTCTAATCCCCCGTCCTGATACCAACTGCTCAACTTTTCTAAACTGCTCTCTTGTTTTTTCTTCATCTTCTTAGAACGCGACTCTTTCCTTGAGTCATAATCATCTTCATCGCTATCTGCAATGCTAGAGCCACCTGATCTCTTTCGGCTCTCACTTCTGTCCCCATAACTTCTCCTTCCACCGCTCTCTATTCCTCCCGTGTCTTATGCATTGCCAGACTTTATTGATCGGCTTGACCTGTGCTTCCTCTTATCACTGCCCTCCCACTCTTCATCGTCTCCAGCCCTATCATTCCTCAAATCTGAGCTATCCTCCAACTCTCGTTTCACATGACTTCGACTATGTTCGGGAGAATCCATCAAAACCCTAAAGCCTTCAAACTAACAAACATAATAATTATTACTATTATTTCTGATTTGCCTGATGTGCTTACATCAGGAGCAGATACTAGAAAGCCTAGTAACAAAATGATCCTGGATCCATTCCAGATGTAAAACATAAAATCAACACAAGTCAACGAATCCACTTAAAAATAAGAGAGCTATAAACAAATCACAATTAACCCCGAACCCCATTCGATTGACTTAACCAACAATCAAACTGAAATACCAAAAATCCAATTCAAGTTTTTTTCTTTTGCAATAAGAGAGTGCTTCACACACAATTTCAACCAAAACCCTAAAAGAAAAACAACTAAACCAATTCATTTTTTCATATTAATGCTAGTAATTGCACATAAACACACTAACAATAACACAATTAAGAAAAAATTGCAAGCTAATCCACCTAAAACCCTAAATTCGCAGGGGTTTGACGTTGACATTGCAATACAATCCCACACATGCCCTAAATACCAAATACAGTAGACACCAGGGTTTCGGAATCTCAAATTTTGTAAAATTTGAATCGGACTTACCCGAGAAAGAATCCGCCGTTGATAGGATTACAAATCTCGGGACCCTATTCAACCTGCAAGCAGCAATAGAAATGGCCATGGAAGAAGAGGAAGTAGAAGCAAAGCTGCTTTTGTATTTATATTCTTTATATCAAAATAACCACTGGACAAAGACATTACACTCACAACCCTACTTGTAATGGTTGATAAGAGAATCATCTGAGTCTCAGCCGCGTTCCAATTTGCTTGGATTATTGCTTAAAGAGAGTAGTGAAGAAGAATCAATAGGAAGCGCCGTCTTTAGGAACAAGGGTTTAACGACGGACGAACTGGTGGATGAGTGCAAGACCTTCTTCTTTGGTGGTCATGACACAACAGCATTGGCAATCACATGGTCGAGGCTACTTCTGGCTATGCATCCGGAGTGGCAAAACCAATTGAGACAAGAGATTAGGGAAGTGATTGGAGATATTGAAGTTGATGTGGACAGGCTTGCTGGACTAAAGAAGGTATTCCATAACTAATTAATTAACGATTAATTATATCGAATCAATTGTTTACATGCATGCATCAATGCATGAGTAGTTGCTAGTTGTGTCATGTACCTGAGCTCTACGGTGCGTGTATGCATGTGAGTCTCTGGTGTCTCTGGTGTAAAGACTAGGGACCATCTATGAAATATACTAATAAAAACTAGACAATTATTAGGCAAAGATATTAAATGCAATATGAGATGAGTAGAACACTCATCGTTGGCTAATAACTTCGGAAAAAGTAGAGATTAGGGAAGTGATTGGAGATATTGAAGTTGATGTGGACAGGCTTGCTGGACTAAAGAAGGTATTCCATAACTAATTAATTAACGATTAATTATATCGAATCAATTGTTTACATGCATGCATCAATGCATGAGTAGTTGCTAGTTGTGTCATGTACCTGAGCTCTACGGTGCGTGTATGCATGTGAGTCTCTGGTGTAAAGACTAGGGACCATCTATGAAATATACTAATAAAAACTAGACAATTATTAGGCAAAGATATTAAATGCAAAATGAGATGAGTAGAACACTCGTCGTTGGCTAATAACTTCGGAAAAAGTAGAGGTTTCACTATAAAATCAACTAAAAATATGGGGAGTAGCCTAATTTACTTATAAGCTTATGCAAGGTCTTCCATTAAGGTGGTATTCATTCTCAACACACTCAAGCCTAGAACGTGAACAACACAAATCGGGTAATATGGGGCACGTGTGCATGGCCGTTGAGCTTCACGCGCGGAACAACTTGCTCCAATACCATAAAAAAAATTTAAGTTTGACCATATAACCAATTGGCAATATGGGACTACCCCAACTTACCTATAAGCTCATGCAAATTTCCTTCCCACATCAATATAAGATTCATTCTCAACAACTTCATTAGCTACTGACATGCCTTTACTCTGAACCATTACCAACTGATACGCCTTTTACTCACCTTTTTCTGCACAACTAGTGTCGACAGCTATTTTGAGTTTTCTCCTCGTATAGTGATAGAGTTGAAGTAACCCAAGACAATTTTTGCTCCCTCTTTTATTTTCTTTCCAATTTGATTCAATAAAATCGCTTCTATCTGTTTATTTATCGTGTAATTAACTTGCAGTTGGGATGGGTGATAAGTGAGGTACTTAAGACTGTATCCCTCAGCACCAAATTCCCAACGGCAAGCAAGAGGGAACATCCGAGTGAATGATGACCTAACAGTCCCCATTGGAACCAACATATATGTGGAT